GGGGCTGTGTCGCTGGTGCTGCCCCTGCTGGACCCGGCACCTTTACTGAGCCATGGCCTCAGCCCTGCGCACCTCTGCCCTCGTGGGCTGTGAGCACCTGCAGCCCCCGAGCCCAGCTGGGCCCTGTGTTCTCGTGGCTGCTGCCCCGCGGTGGCGGCTGGGACGTCCCTCCCTCTGCCCTCTCTCCGTGTGTGGTCTGTGATTTCAGATGTCTCCTGGCTGAGTTGTAGATGGGGTTCACTTTCCAGCTTCGTGTTCATTTTTGCTTTGGAGCAGTTTTCAAAAGAGAGGAGGAGAGGGAACAGGCTTTGCCGTCTTGGAACTAGAAAAATATTTTGGGGAGTATGGTTTTAGCTGGGAGTATTTTATGGTTTTAACTGGAAGATAGGGCATTTAACATTTACTTGTTTTGGATCCATAACAATATATTTTCTAGATATTCATATGGAAACACCCAAGAAAATAATTCCTTGACTCGTATAAAGTGATCGCTGAGTGTTCCTGTTGTTGTATTTTTAAGTGACAGAGCTATAGTATAGGATATAATTGTGGAAGATATTTCCTTGGTAAACCATTGGGCCTTTATTTTATCTGGTGAGTGGACTCAATATTTAATAAACTATTGAGAGTTTTAAGGTGCTGTGTAACACCCCAATTTTTCCCCATTTGGATTCTTTATAACCTAGCTGGTCCCTCCATTTAAAATTTTTTATTTTACTTTCTGTTTATTTACTTATTTATTTGAAAGGCAGACTGACAGAGAGGAAGAGACAGATCTTCCAACCACTAGTTTACTTCCCACATGGCTGCTGCCATCAGGACTGGGCCAAGACAAACGCAGGAGCCAGGAACCCCATCTGGGGCATGTTGGTCTCAGGAACCCAAGTACTTGGACCATTATCTGCTGCCTTCCCAGGTGCAGTAGCAGGTCGCTGAATTGGAAGTGGAGGATCCAGAACCTGAACTGGCACTCTGATATGAGATGCAGGTGTCTGAAGTGGCAGGTTAACCCACTGTGCTACAGTGACCACCCCGGTCCCTTTATTTTTTAAAGCAAAGCACTCCTGTACTATATGCAAATATTTGTAGTTCGGAAATCATTGTTCAAGTGAAAATTTTGGGTTATCAGTTCTGCCCATAGCTTTGATGTGTAAGTATTTGAATTCCTTCTATATACACCTAACATGCCTTAGAGTTGGAGGGAGTTTTAATACCATCCTTAAGGGTTGGCAAAGGTTGGAATATTGTGTACTGGGTGGGGAGGGTCTCCAAAAGTTTTTGGAAAAATCAGACTATAAAGAACTGCCCATGAGGGGCAGCGCTGTGGCACAGGGGGCTAAGCCTCTGCCTGGGTGCTGGTTTGTGTCCCAGCCGCGCCTCTTCTGATCCAGCTCTCTGCTATGGCCTGGGAAAGCAGCAGAAGATGGCCCAAGTGCTTGGGCCCCTGAACCCTGGAACTCCTGACTTTGGATCAGCCCAGCTCCAGCCATTGCGGCCACGTCGAGAGTGAACCTGTGGATGGAAGACCTCTCTCTCTGTTTCTCCCTCTCTCTCGGTGTTATTTTACCTCTTGAATAAATAAATTAAAATTAAAAATAAAACAACTGTGCATGGATTTCAAACTTTCTCTGCACCAAAATAAACTTACTGAAATTGTATTTTTCATGAAAGTTTTGAGGTCCCTTTATCCTGTCTCAGCGGTTTACAGGTTTGGGAAAAGGGGCAGGACTTAAGTTTGAGTGACACTGCACTGAGCAAAGTTAGGTGCTGGTGTTATTTCTGCCAACAGGAATTCCCTTAGCATTCAGCTTGGAGTGTAATGGAGTATTTTGTGAACACATTTTGGAAACAGTAGTCATGGTTAGGACAGATTTTTGGAACCTGAGTGGTTTGGATTCCTGCCAGAGGCTTGTCACTTCATAGCTGTGGTCCTTAGACAAGTTCTCAACCTTATCTGGAAGACAGTGCGTTAGATCCATTAGATGATGTACACAAGCCATGTAACACAGTGTCTGGTGCGTAGTAAGCACTTAGTATGTGGTGGTCTCACATACACATTCTGCTTTTTTATTTTTGTTTGAGGTGGTGGGGCAGGGCAGGAGAGACCTCCCTTTTGCTGGTTCACTCACAGAATGCCTTCCATGGTTGGTGCAGGGCAGAGGCCAGAGTAAGGAGCCAAGAACTCAACCCAGGTCTCCCACGTGGGCGGCAGGAGGCCAACTCCTTGAGTCATCAGCTGCCGCCGCCCAGGATCGGCATTGGCAGGCTGGGAGTCAGTCCAGGCGCTCTGGCGCAGGGCACAGGCACCTTAGCTGCTAGGCCAAATGCACACCCTATGTTTTTCTTTTAAGTCATTTGTGAGGAGAGGATGTTTACACGGAAAATCATTGTAGGGAAAGAATAAGTAGTACATTCCCTTGCTCTTAGGGCTCACTGCCCAAAACCAAACTGGAGAGCCACAGAGTAATTAGAGAGGTACAACTCAGTGAATCCCGGTGTGCTCATTGTTACAGAACAATGCGCAGGTGTCACGGAGCAAAAGAGGCCTGAGCCCTGTCCAGTGTCGAGTGCACTGTTCGTCGGGTTTGTGACGGACTTGCCTGGCGGCGCCTGAAACAGCCGCTGGTCTTGTTAACAAACCACAGGCCCTGGGCCCAGCTGGGAGGCTTGGTGGCGGCAGGTGTGAGGTGGGGCTCCAGGTGGCGTCTATGCAGGTGGGGGGGGGATCCCCGGGGACTCAGGGAGCAGGCCTGTGTGGGAGGGGCCCGGGAGGCGGGGTGACCGCCGGGGTGATGCCGGTGCAGGCCTAGCGGGCGCAGCTGGACCAGGAATCACCGCCTGAGACCAGCCTGGCATCTGCAGGTGAGGCTTGCTCTTAGACAACAGCGTTGGAGAGACTGCTTGGAGTGCGCCGTCGGGCGCAGGTGAGTTTTGTGGTCCTTGTTCCGACGGGAGCGCTGTGCCCGGTTCTGTTCGTCTCCTGCACCGACCCCGCAGGTGGGTTCTGCGGTCCTTGTCCGACGGGAGCGCTGTGCGCGGTTCTGCTTCGTCCCCTCGTGCACCGACCCCGCAGGTGGGTTTTGTGGTCCTTGTCCGACGGGAGCGCTGTGCCTGGTTCTGCTTCGTCTCCTCGTGCACCGACCCCGCAGGTGGGTTTTGCGGTCCTTGTTCAGACGGGAGCGCTGTGCCCGGTTCTGCTTCGTCTCCTCGTGCACCGACCCCGCAGGGAAGACACGGAATCTGAATTCTGCGCGGAGGTGGCAGGTGCACACCCCACACCTGTGCTGCTCGCTCTGTTTTCCGCAGGGGCGCCGTGCGGGGGAGGGGCTTCGCGGCCAGCGGTGTGGGGGCTGCGGGAGCCTCAGGGTTTTCCCAGGAGGCCCGCGAAGTTCGGACTCCGGGAGGCGTCGCGGTGGTGCGCACGCACGCGCCGGGTCTGAAGGGTCTGCAGTTGGCAGGGCGGCCGGGCGGCTGCTGTGGGCCCCTCGCGGCAGGGCCCTGCGGACGCCCCCTCCCTGGAGCCCGTGTCCGGCAGGAATGGCCACGTGAGCGGGCTCCCCTCGGTCCCCCGGGGCTTTCTCGCCGTCGGTGTCCATTCAACCCAGAGCCGCACGAACGTCTTCCCAGAGGTACCACTCCCCTGCGCCGAAGACCAGGACGCCACGGGGACGCGCTGAGGTACACGCCACGCGGCGACGCGCGGAGCTCCCGGGAACGCGCGTGAGGTAACGCGCGGAGCTCGCAGGAACGCGCGTGAGGTGCGCGCCACGCGGCGACGCGCGGAGCTCCCAGGAACGCGCGTGAGGTAACGCGCGGAGCTCGCAGGAACGCGCGCGAGGTACACGCCACGCGGCGACGCGCGGAGCTCCCAGAAAGCCGCGCGCGCACGCGGACCCTGCGCAAGCCCCGCCCCCCGCCCGGGCCGGCGCCGCCCCGCCCCGCCCCGCTCTGCGCCCTCTGCTCCTGGAATTGCCTACACGCACGTGTGCGTGTGCACTCGCTCTTTAAACAAATCCTGCCCTCGTTTTTGCATGTTATTTATGCCTCCGCTTTGGATCCTTATCGCACATGGGCAAGGACTTGGAGTAAAAACCAGGAAGCGTGTTCCCACCGCAGGGAGACCTGGCAGGCTGACTTCGCCCTGTTCCCGGTGGATCTGTCTGTGGTTTGATAACTAAAGTTATGTAATTCCTTAATAGTTTTTTTTTTAAGATTTATTTATTTATTTATTTGAAAGGCAGAGTTACGCTTAGGGAGAGGCAGAGGCAGAGAGGTCTTCCATCTGCTGGTTCACTCCCTAAATGGCTGCAGTGGCCGGGCTTGGCCAGGCTGAAGCCAGGAGCCAGGAGCTTCTTCCGGGTCTCCAAAGTGGGTGCAGGAGCTCTAGCACTTGGGCGGCCTTCCACTGCTTTCCCAGGTGCATTAGCAGGGAGCTGAATCAAAAGTGGAGCAGCCGGGACTAGAACCAGCGGCCATATGGGATGCTGGCACTGCAAGCAGCGGCTTAACCCAATACCCACAGCGCCAGCCCCACGTTAGTAGGTTTTTAGAGTTTTCCAATCTAAATTTTTAGCCTGTCCATATCTTAGCATTCTCCTAATGCATGATTTGATTTAGGGGCATTATCAATTAAAGACCTGGAGATAGAATCACACTGGGCACAGCCCAGATATTCTGTTGATGGGGGTACGTGAAATAAAGTACAATGGCTGAAATTCATTATGTCCATAACCCAAATCTAGGAGTGAAATGACCCATCTCGCCTGCCTTTGTGGGCTTTGTTTACCTTTTTTTTTTTTTTTTGGACAGGCAGAGTTAGTGAGAGAGAGAGAGGTCTTCCTTTTCCGTTGGTTCACCCCCTAAATGGCTGCTACGGCCGGCGCGCTGCGCTGATCCGAAGCCAGGAGCCAGGTGCTTCTCCTGGTCTCCCATGTGGGTGCAGGCCCCAAGGACCTGGGCCATCCTCCACTGCACTCCCGGGCCACAGCAGAGAGCTGGACTGGAAGAGGAGCAACCGGGACAGAATCTGGAGCCCCAACCGGGACTAGAACCCGGGGTGCCTGCGCCGCAAGGCGGAGGATTAGTCTCGTGAGCCGCGGCGCCGGCCGCTTTGTTTACTGTTTCAAGTGATGCTGGCCCATGAGTGGGACCCTAATTGGCCCTTTGTCTACAGGTGTTCCTAGGGCTTTCCTATTTCGGTGCCCTGTGAACAGGGGCGTTTAGACGACCTCTGCATCTCAATGATTGTCGAGCTGGATCCGGATGTCTGGGAATCTGCGTGAGTGTTGACAGAAGCCCCGGGTGCGGTATGACAAGGTGACTGGGGCTGAAGGCTTTGGTTCTTCCTCTGCCCTGGAGATTGTAACTGGAACCCAGCTGGCTGTCCTGACCTCCTCTATGGAGAATCCACATGGCAGGTGGGAGGAAGTTTGCTATTTGAAGGTCAGGCCTCATAAAGAGAAACGTCTTAAAAGGAAGATTAAGCAGTCTAGATCATTGTATTTTTTTTTTCATACGTTCTGGGAGAGAAGCTTGAGTCATTGTAGACCATCTGTGTTTCTTTTGGGACTTTAGGGGTTTGAAATTCCAGCGTATTAATTGATGAACACCATGGGCTGGCGCCGCGGCTCACTAGGCTAATCTTCCACCTTGCGGTGCCGGCACCCTGGGTTCTAGTCCCAGTTGGGGCGCCGGATTCTGTCCCGGTTGCCCCTCTTCCAGGCCAGCTCTCTGCTGTGGCCCGGGAGTGCAGTGGACGATGGCCCAAGTGCTTGGGCCCTGCACCCCATGGGAGACCAGGAAGAAGCACCTGGCTCCTGGCTTCGGATCAGTGTGATGCGCCGGCCACAGTGCGCCGGCCGCAGCGGCCATTGGAGGGTGAACCAACGGCAAAGGAAGACCTTTCTCTCTGTCTCTCTCACTGTCCACTCTGCCTGTCAAAAAATAAAAAAAAATGATGAACACCACGGACATCCTGGAGCCCTAACGATCACGTGGTCTCCTTCCCTGAGTCCTCTTGGCCTGGCCCCTGACCGCAGTCACCACCTGTTTGCCGTTGACAATTGCCTGCCTTGACCTCTGCTCCGCGCCCCGCACCTGCTCACACGACCTCCTGCTTCACGTGGACCCTCAGGAGCCTGCGCAGAGCCTCTGCGCTCCCCTCTCCTGGGGTTCTTCACCCCTGCTCCCCCAGCCACGCACTTAGGAACAATCCGTGAGCAGGAGTGGTAGGTCACAGAGATGCTTCCATAGGGATGAGCCTGTCCTCACGGTTCATTCGTGTACTCACTGGTCTCAGCACTGCTGGAAACCCAGCTCACAGTGGAGGAAGAGTAGCAAATCTCTCCTCGCCGCCATGCCAGCTGCTTTGCGGGACTCCCAGCCACTCCTGGCCTTGCTGGCTTTCTGGATGCGCAGTCTGGGGAGTGTGAAGGGCCCTGGAGAGGGGCGGGGTGTTGTGTGTGCGCACATCACATCCGCTGTTCTCTGAGGAGTAGCCTTAGCAAAGCTCACAGCCTAGTCCCTCCCCTGTAAAATGGAGAAGATGCTAATGGAGTCAAGCCCTGTGTGCGCAGTGAGTGCTGGCCGCACCTTCTCCAGAAGCCCTTGGTTCCTGGTGATTGTCTCCCGGAGGGGTTCACCTGTCGGCTCCCCTCACTTACCTGAGCTCTTGCTTTGATCCTGTTGCATGGAGAAGTGGCCTCTTTCCTCCTGTTTTCCGTTCTGTGGTGGTTACCTGTCTTGTTACACAGAGCATTCCAAAGTGAAAAAGAACTATTTCCCCCAGTTATTCAGTAATTTTACTTTTCAGGCTGGACTCTTCTCTTGGCTGGGGTGATGACACCTTGCTCTACTCACAGGGCCTTGGAACTACTTTATTATTAGATGTATTTATTTGAAAGGCAGAGCAACAGAGAGGGAGAAATGGAGAGATGTATCAGAGAGGGAGTCAGAGCGCAAGGGAGTGAGAGTGAGACACAAAATGTTGCAAAGGCAGGGCTGTCAAAGCCTGGAGTCAGGAACTTAACCCAAGTCTCCCACACTGGAGCAGGAGCCCAGCTCCTTGAGCGGTCCATCAGCTGCTGCTTCCCCAGGCATACACTGGAAACGGGAACCAGGAGCTAGAACCAGGAATCAACCCCAGGTGCTCAGATGTGGGATGCAGGTGCTCCAACAGGTGTCTTAAAAGCTAGGCCAGGGGCTGGTGCTGTGAGCAGTAGGTTAATCCTCTGCCCACGGCACCGGCATCCCATATGGGCAACGGTTCTAGTCCCGGCTGTTCCTCTTCCGATCCAGCTCTCTGCTGTGGCCTGGGAAAGCAGTAGAAGATGGCTCAAGTCCTCGGGCCCCTGCACCCACATGGGATACCTGGAAGAAGCTGCTGGCTCCTGACTTCGTTGTGGCCATCAGGGGGAATGAACCAGTAGATGAAGACCTCTTTCTCTGTCTCTCTCTCTGTAACTCTGTCTTTCAAATTAAAAAAAAAAAAAAAAAAAAAGCTAGGCCAAACGCCTGCCCATTTTTATAGGGTCTGGTGTGCAATTTGATACACATGTGTAACATGGAATCCATCAGTGTGTGTCTATAATGTGTAATGATCAGTCAGGGAAATGAGCGTTCCTGTCTTGTTAAACATCATTTCTTAGGCTGGCGCCGCGGCTCACTAGGCTAATACTCCACCTTGTGGCGCCGGCACACCGGGTTCTAGTCCCGGTCGGGGCGCCGGATTCTGTCCTGGTTGCCCCTCTTCCAGGCCAGCTCTCTGCTGTGGCCAGGGAGTGCAGTGGAGGATGGCCCAGGTGCTTGGGCCCTGTACCCCATGGGAGACCAGGAGAAGCACCTGGCTCCTGGCTTCAGATCAGTGTGGTGCACTGGCCGCGGCGGCCATTGGAGGGTGAACCAACGGCAAAGGAAGACCTTTCTCTCTGTCTCTTTCTCTCTCACTGTCCACTCTGCCTGTAAAAAACAAAACAAAACAAAAAAACCCATCATTTCTTTGTGTGGGGAAACACTTGACTCCTCTCTTCGAGCCTTCGAGCTCTGTATAAAAATCTAGAGGAAGCCTCATGGCAGGTGGGCGCTTAGCCTGGCGGTTGGGACACTGGTGAAGATGCCCGTATCGGGTACCTGAGTACAATAACCGACTCTGGGTCCTGCCACCAGCTTCCTGCAAATGCAGACCCTGGGGAACAGCAGGTGATTGTGCAAATAATTGGCTTCCTGCCACCCACGTGGGAGACCTGGTTAGTTCCCTGCTCCCTGGCTCCATTCCTGGCCCGGCCTCAGTATGATGGGAGTGCATCAGTGGATGGGAGTCTCCCTCCCTCTCCCTCTTCCCATCACTCTCTCTCTCTCTCCCTCTCCATCTCCCTCTCCCTATCTCCTTTGCCTGTCAAATACAAAAAACTTTTTGAAGTTCATGGAAAATGTGTATTATGAACTCTACATGGATTTCATTTTTTTTCACCAAAATCAACATCTATTTTAATCCCATTTTCCCACAAAGAATGACTACTTTGTGTACTAAGCGGTTGTGAATCATGTCACCCCGGTGTGCCGCGTTGCAGGACATGCAGCGCATTCTTCCCGACAGGCTGTGCTTCAGCCCCTGTGCCCCGCCGCCCCCTGGCCCCACTCCCCTCTGGCCACTACTCCTTTGCTGCCTGTCTCTGTGGCATCAGCGTTGTTGGCCTCCACACAGCAGAGGGAATGCACCGTCTCGTCGTTGTGTGCCTCCTTTGTTTCACACGGTGTCCTCCGTGTTCATCCACTCAACAGCTTTTGTTTTTCAGGGGATTGTGATTGAAACTGTGACTGCCCCGATAGCTTCTAACTCAGTCCCTCGGGATTCTCAGAACTCACTTCCTTTAGCCTCTGTATTTGTAATCTTTGTTGGAGCTGTGCTGGGCCATTTGCATGCACAGATGCAATTCACAATGATTAGCAGTATTAATTACAGATTTATTTAAATGAGGGCTCTCATGAAGACTTAGGTAGTCTAAAACTTTGCAGCAATGTGCCTTCCCCCAGAGGACTTAAAAGATTAATTCTAAAATGTGTTCCTTTGGATTGAAACCCAATACTGTCTCACCAGTGTGAAGACACCTGCTTTTAAGAAACTGGAGAAATATGCAGAGTTAGCCTGTGTGAAAGATCTTGGGGTGCTCACGGCCTTCTGCTCACAGCTCGTGTTGCCAGGTGAGTTTCGAATCCTCTGAAGTCAGCGACGCAGCCACAGGCAGGCTCGAGCGCTCTCAAGTCTTTTTCCACGGATGCGATACCAAGAGGTCTCCCCCAGGTCCTTTATGGCTAGGAGTGGTGAAGGTCCCTGTCACAACACCATGATCTTATCAAGCTCAGGGTGATGGTCACCTCATGACATCGGTGGAGACATCTGAGCCTGGAGACAGAATTTCGCTACGAGCGTGTGTATTGAATCCGTCCACAGGGAGAGGTCCTGCTGCAGAGAGGGAGCGTGTGACGCCGTCAGCTCGCAGATGGCACGGCCATTTCCCGGGGCAGCCTCCGAGCCGTTCACAGCTGTCCACGCCGACCACTGTCGTGGGTGCTGGCTAAGTTACAGGGACACTCTCGCACTGTCCAGCGCCCATGATGGCTGCGGACTCCTTGCAGCAGGACACCTGAGTGGAATGGCACAGCTGCAAGAGGAGAGGTGAGGGGACCTGAGGGCGTCTGCTGGCGGTGCGTGTCGCTGTCGCCCCTGAGCACCAGTTTCTAAAGAAGGAAGCTGGACGCATGGTCAAGATGACTGGATGGGGGGCAGCACGGACCCGGAATCCAAGGGCGGCTGTTGTGCTGCTGCAGATTAACTCGGCACTTGGGACGCTGCATCCCACGTCAGTGCTGTCTCGAGCCCTGGCTCCCCTGCTTCCATTCAAGCTTCCAGCCGATGTACTGGGAGGAAGCGGTTGATGGCCTAAGTGGTCGGACTGCCACCTGCATGGGACACTCGGAGTTCCCGGCTCGGGGCATCAGCCTGTGCAGCCCTGGCTGTGGTAAGCATTTGGGAAGTGAGCCAGTGCACGGTCTCTCTCCGTTGCTCTGCCTTTCAAATAGATGAAAATAAATAAACATAAAAAAGTGGAAACACCGAAGACCAATAAACATGCAGAGATAAGCAAGATGAGCATGAGCGGTCACTAACACATCAGACAGGCAAAGCATTTAAGGTATGAAGCGCCCTGCATTGGCAGGTGTGGACCAACAGGAACTCTTGCATTAAGTCCTAGATTTGCTTGTACCAGAATAAACTTAGAATTCCATTTTCCCCAAGATATTTGAAGAACCTAGTTCACATTGCTGGTGGAGAGGTAGATTGTTACAACCACTTTTGGAGAATCATTTATTACCCAGTAAATTTTAACCTGAACATACCCTGCGACCCAGCCATTCTGCTGTTGGGTATATCTCCCACACAAAGTCACATTCATGTGCATCTGAGTACAAGAAAGCACACGGGCCAACCTGGCAACAGCCCAGTGTGGGGAGCAACCCGGACTGGACTGAGTTACTGGAATTAAGACTTATTCTATGCATCTGCTCTCCCACAATATGGCGCTGGGAGAGGAGAAAACAGCTTCTACACAGCTGCCTCTTGCCAACTTGAGTGATGACCTCCAGGAGCTGATCCTGCTCCTGATTGGAGGAGAGCAGCGTACTCAGCGTGTGGGCAGCCGAGTTGGGATTGGCGGAGGAGGACTATAAAGGAGGAGAGAGAGAACATGCACCAGGAACATCTAAGGGGAACATCTATCTGAAGGAACACCTGTGCAGCCCCCGAGAGAGCCGGCCGGCGGTGTGCCGCTCCCCCGCGGAAGTGGGGAAAGTGGCCAGGGGGAACCGCCCTTCCACGGAGGTGGAAGGGTCGGTAGCCAACCCGGGAAGAACCAGCAGCAAACCCGGGGAGGGCCGAGCAGACGAAAGAACAGCGCAGGGTCCTGTGTCGTTCCTCCACGAAGACGGGGAGCGACATAATGGTGCCGTGACTCGGATATGAAGCCTAGGCAGGGTTTTGTGTCGTTCCTCCATGAAGAGGGGGAGCGACACCCAGGGGTTCCCCAGCAATGAGGACGTACTGCCAAAACATTAAAGTAAGGGGACCTTAGAGAGAACACCGAAAATGAACTAGGACTGCATGTGGCCAGGCGCAGGATCCCATAGTGACAGAAGAATTAAGTGTCTTTAGGTCTGCGTGATATTTATAGCAACTTCCAAAACAGACAAGAGTTAAACCTGATCAACCCCACAGGGGAGAGGCCCTTGACTTACTCTTTCAAATGCCCGGAGTAGAGCCACAGTGAATTTTTGCAGAATGGCCTTTTGTATATTGTCCATGGACATGTATGTGGGCATAAAAGCAATTTAAAGCCTCCTGTCTGAAAAAGAATAGGATTTCCGCTAGGCATGAGTGAGGGTGCTGTGGTTGCCGGCACTGGTGGGCAGTGTGTTCTGGGCTGCTCCTGACCCACGTGGTGGCTGTGGGAATGTTCGCGTGGGTTTATTCCCAACCCCATGTGTGTGTGGTCGACAGGCCTCCTGGCTGTCGTATCTCACAGTGTGACAGCTAATGCGACAGACAGGCAGTTTATTGGGTTTCATTTCAGTGCACTTCTCTGGGCGTGGGGGTGAGAGGGAGGTGTGTTCATGGACCTGGGACTGCAGGTGCATGTGAGGCAGCTGTGACCTTAGAGCTCTTCTGTGTTTGCATCAAGAGTTTTGGGAGTGGCACAGGCAATAAAAGGCCTGGGCTCGGTTTTGCCCTTTGCCATTTCCTGCCTGTGTTGCCTGGAACATTCAGGTAGACTGTTTCCTCAACTCTGAAATGGGGCTCCCAGGAGCCCAGGGTAGCAGCGATTAAATGAGGATTAAATAAAAGATGGTTTGCTGTGGTGCCTTTGTGTGATGAGAAAATGCCCCTCCTCCTGCCGGAGACTGCACTGGGGCACAGCTTGGACAGCAGATGTGCCCATTGTGTCGGTGACAAGGCACCCTTCTGGGCAGAGGCCTGGGCCTGCCCACACCCCACCCTGCTGTCCTGAGTCCCGCCCCCACAGTGAGACTGTGGAAGCAGGCAACAGCTGCGTGGTTTGCAGATAGTAAATGTTTAAGGTCGCCGTGGTCAGGCTCCAGTCCTGTGCGCTCGGAGAAAGAACACTACCAGGAGTCACTGAGCGTCCCAGGCGGGGCCAGCAGAGCCTCAGCTCCCCCTGTTGGAGAGTTCCGGTTTTTTTTATGTGAGCTGGAATAGTCATGTTCCGATTGCGTGGTGGTTTTGAACACACCATCTTTAGCACTGGTCTCAGAGCTGCAGGAGAATAAGACTCTGTTTTGTTTCCCTGTCTGGGAGCTGGGACTTGAACTGGGGCTACAGTTTATTCCCTCTCTGGGTGGAGGACAAGGGTCTCCGGGTGAGCAGAGCAAGATGGAAGTGGGCAGCAGTGGTACTGAGTGGGGGACCTGCCTTTACCCCCCCCAACCAAAAATGTCACTTTTTAATTATTTCACAATTGAGATTCTGCATAGGAATTCATTGAAAGGCAAGGTTTTACTGCTTTTTTTTTTCTTTTGATGTTTACTTTTAATATTTTCTTCTACTTGAAAGGCTAAGTGAGAGCCAGGGCGAGTGAGTAAGAGGTATCCATCTTTCACCCTCTGGTTCACTCCCCAAATGCCCACGACAGCCAGGGTTGGGCAAGGCCAAAGCCAGGAGCTGAGAGCCGCATCTCTGGACCCTGGGGTCCGAAGCCCCCTCTGCTCTTGTTCCCTGACGTCATGGAGGCCTGTGGTTGGCATCCTGGTCTGGAGGCCACCATGTGAATCTGTAGTGGCCTTTAGCAGGCTTTTCTGGGATTTCAGGTTGTTGCAGAGATGATTAAGGCATTTAGATGAAAAATAAGTGCTCAAAAAAATAAGCAGTATTAATTGAGAATTTTATAGACTCTCTTTTTGGTATGTATGTGTGTAAATATGTAAACTTAGTGAATAATAATTTTTGAGAATCTTTGGTTAGTTTGTATAAATTACCTGATTTATGAAGTACAGGTGTGTGAATGTGTGCATTGGTAGAATTCAGAAATCTAAAAATAAGACTTTAATGTGTAGGGACTTTTCTAAAATTTGTTTGATTCATATGTGAAAACCTAGTATGTATTACTTGTTATTTTTCCTTTCTGTTCTTTAGATTTCTTTTTTAAAATTTTTATTTAATGAATATATTTTTACATAGATACAACTTTAGGAATATAGTGGTTCTTTCCCCCATACCACTCCTCCCCCACTCCCATCCCACCTCCCTCTCCCTCTCCCATCTTCTTCATTATGGTTCACTTTTAGTATCACTTTATATACAGAGGACCAACTGTATGCTAATCATAGACTTCAACAACTTGCACCCACACCCACACACAACATACAGAGTACAGTCTGGGGAGAAAATTTGCAGTCGATTCTCATATTATAATTCAGTAGGGACAGAGGTCCTACCTGGGGAGGAAGTGCACAGTTGCTGCTGTGGATTCGTTCTGAGAAGAGAAGCATGGTGGGGGCAAGAGGCGCGGAGTCACCACACAGACACTGGGAGTTGGGTGAAAGCAGGCCAGAGGCGAGCAGCCTGCAGACTCGTTTATTTCAGTTGGTACAGCAGCTTATATAGCCAAGACCAGCCAATCTGGTAAAGGGGCGGTTTATGCCCTAACCAATCACAGCCTGTTGCCAGGCAGGCTCCATTGCCAGGTGGGTTCCGAAGCCATTCCTGAGTAACTGATGCTTGCTTGCCAGCGGCCATCTTGGCCTGGCCTTCTCATTCCATCACACACAGTGACTACTGTTGTACCTTTAACAATTAACACTCGCTGATCATTTTAAGAACAGAACACCATTTGCACTATGATGTCAGTGATCATCCGAGGCTCTTGCCGTGGGCTGCCAAGGCTATGGAGGCCTTTTGTGACCACAGACTCCGTTGGTATTTGGACATGGCCACAAGCAAAGTGGATGTTCTCTTTTTCCTTCAGAGGAGAGTGGAGAATTGTATAGACACTTATGTCAAAATTTTTGACTTCCTGTAAATCTCATAGCTTTTCTCCCAAGACAGTTTTCTCCGAGAGCAAGCTGACCTTGTCAGTGGTTTGCTGCGTGGATGAGGAGGGGCCTACAATGCTGGAGAAGTGAGAACAGGTCCCCCACAGTGTTGGGGAGGCAGGGAGCAGCTTCCTGTGGCTCCTCCAGGAAGCTCAGTTTATGCGTCCCTGCCTGCCTCCTGCCTGGTGCCGTAGTATTTAGATCTAACCAGCCTGGAAGTGTCGGGGAGATGAACTCTTCCCTCTGGGACCCCAGCCCAGCATCTGGGTGAAATTCACTCTTGAAAGCTTTGCTTTGATGCCTGGTTGGCAGGTGAGTGATGGCAGAGGCCAACAGGGCTGGGGCTGTGCCGTGGAATCTCACACTGAAAGTGACCAGCTCTAAGGGCCCAGGCGAGAGTCACAGGTGAGCAACTATTCTTGGGGGTTTTCAGAAGACAGTTGGACAGCAAGTCTCTCCCACAGTCTCTCACTGGCGCATTCTGTATGGCATTTTATGTTGAGTTCTCTGGATTCTTCTTTTTTTTTTTTTTTTTTTTTTTTTACCACTGTAAATTTTTATTTCATTCAAACAGTAAAATATCTACTCATCACAATCAAATATGTAAGGTTTTACATCAGAGTTTTTTTTGGTTTTAGGTAAAAATAATTTGCAACTGACAAAATCACAACAAATACTCATTCTGTAAAATATTTGTATTTTATATAATTTTCTAAGATATCTAGAATTTTAATGCTGGTGTACTCATAATAGAACCATATCCTATGGCTAATGCGAACCATATTTTAGAAATAAAATACATTTTTGTCAATCATTTAAGTCCTCTAGACTTTGGAATCATCATTAATTCTGAATAAAAAAAAAAGAATAATTAGAACTGGATTCTTCCTTTTAATCCGACACATCCCCCAGCTGGGAGGAGGGAAGGTGCCCAGGGAAGATGCTGCCCCCTGGTGCTGAAAGGTGGTCCTGTGAGGGGTGCTCCTGGCACAGCCAATGCTGTAAGCCCTGCTGTGTTTGCCAGAGACCCGAAGGGCTGCCCTGGGGTTGGTGTATGGGTGGTGCTTGCAAGAATGAAGTGTCTCCTGTGGTGTTAGGCAAGCATGCGAGTAACAGTAACCACTGCCCTTTTGAGTGTCAGTTGAAAAACTTCCTGGGGTTGGGTTCGATATAAGAATAGGCAGAGATGGGTGATGGCTAGGAGCCCCATTTCACGGACGGGTTTGCTTCACCACACATTCCTTGCACATTCTTGGGGACTTTTGATGGTGATACGCCTTGGAGAAAACTTTTTTTTGGTTGCGTCTGCTTGAGATTCTTTGGGTTTCTTGTGTCTGGATGCCCATGTCTCTTTCAGGACCTGGGAAATTTTCAACCGTTATTCCATTCAGCAGGTTCTCGGTGCCTTTTTCCTTTTCTTCTCCTTCAGGAATGCCTGTAATATACTTATCCGGTCATTTATGGTATCTCATGTTTTGTGAGACTTTCTTCATTCTTTTTATTTTTTGCCTGATTGGGCTGTTTCAGGCTGTTCTCAGGGTCAGAAATTCCTTCCTCTGTTTGGTCTATTCTTCTATTAAAGCTCCAGTCGTATTTTTTATTTCACGGATGGCAGATTTCACCTCCAGAATTCCTACTTGGTTCTTCCTAGTGAGTGCTGTCTCCTCAGTAATAGTTTATTTTGTGTCACTCATCGCTTTCCTCAGTTCTTCGTTTTCTCTTGCATCTCGCTGAATTCTGTACCTGTCATTTCACAGACTTCCTTCAGCCCAGGCTCTGATTCTGGGGGATTATTGTGTTCTTTTGGAGGCATCGCGCTACCTTGCTTCCTCAAGTCTCCCGTGTCTCTACGTTGACGTCTGCCCACCTGGTGTATTCGTCCCTTTTCTTTATGGGGTCGGCTTTCCTGTGGAAGGGTTTAGGGTAGCTGGAATGCAGGGTATCACTTGGCTTGTTGCTTTGGCTTTGGTTCTAGGGGATTCCAGAAGTGTGGTCTCTGAGTGTGTCAATCAGTGTCAGCTGTGTCTGTAAGTGACACAGTGGACTGGCCTGCTT